GCACAGGGTGCACTATCAGTAGTCTCCACAGTAATGGCCAGCCTCTAGCTTTGCAGGTCCTTAGTCCAGAGTTTGCATTAGTTTCTCGCTTCCCCAAGCCAGAAAAAAGCAAGAAAACGTGTGCTGCAATGCAATATCCCAGGTTTGATCAGAAAAAAAAAGGCGGCACTGTTCATAGTGTGTATGCAGAGGAATCTATGGTCTTTATTCTCTAAATATCGGGGTGGGTACAAAGACTCATTGCAGATGAAAGTGACCGAGAGCTTCACATTTTGTGCATCCCTCAGGTCACTTTGTTGCCTCATGACATCCTCACTCTTCCTCTTCTATCTTCCTATGAAACTCCCGGCTCTTTGCTCGGAGCTTGTTGACCTGTGACTCTGCAATGTCAGCCCGCTCCTCGGCTTCCTCCAGCTCGTGCTGGATCTTGCGGAACTTGGAGAGGTTGACATTGGACAGATTCTCCTGTGCGGGGAGAGGGAGTCGGTGGTGAGAGCCCAGGGCAGGGGTTTCACTCCTCCTGCACCTCGGCCTTGCAGGGCTGTAGCTGTTCCCCAGGGAAAAGCACAGACCTCTTATTTCCCATCTACCACTGCTTACACATAAGCCTCACACAGACCTCCCCAACCTCCCTTTTTAGAAGAGCCATGGTAGACTGAGCACAACAGGGTTTGAACATAATTCTGCTCAGGATCGTGGGAAGGAAACAAACCGGGCAGCTGGAATCAGATTTTTTTAGATCTGGAATTAAATGTTCAACTATGTCTGCAGACTCTAAGATGGAGTTAGGAATTTGTAAGAGATGGTGAATCCATGAGATCTCCTCAATGTTACTTTCACAAATCCCCTTATCTGAGGCCCAAAGCCCTTGTCTGAATGGACTGTTTGCAGCAGCAAAGAAGCCATGCTCAGACATTCATGAATTCAGGGGTGGCAGGAATTCCCCCAGTTCATCCCTGATTGCAACATGCCCAGAAAAAGGCAACAGCTCATTGAACAATTCTAAATGCAGTGCACCATGTTGCTTCGGGATGTACTTCCAATACCTTCTCTATCTGCTGAAATTTCCCTGGCCCTATCCAAAATGTGGAATTCCCTGTAGTAGATAAGCATATGCTGAATCAGAATTTCTTATACAACATTTTCTCTGTTCCTAGGCACAGGATACTGGAGTTTTGGCAGGTCATTTTCTTCCACATAACTACAAAGCGTCTCTGAATTGCAAGGGTCACAAGCGTATTTCAAAAAGATAGTTATATGAATATTAAAATTCAGAAAATATGTTCTTTTCAAAACATCTTAATATATTGTACTATCAGTATTTTTAATAAAAACTCCTTCTTACAGATTGCTTTGTTGTTCGAATGCAAAAAAAGTTACGTGCACTTGCCCTCCTCAATAGCTTTCTTATTAGCTCATTGTTTTCATTCTCAAAGGCTAGGGTAATTTGTAAGCATCTCAAAGAACTTGACACCCTTCATTATTGACATGTGGCACTTTCCAAGTTTCTTGTATTCATCTCCTCAATGTCCACACTACCCACTTGGAAAGTATTCCTTGCCGAGCACTCAGAGTGATACTTACAGCCTCTTCAGATTGCCTCTTGTAGGATTTCACCTTCATTTGCAGCTTGTCCACCAGGTCCTGGAGCCTGAGAATATTCTTCCGGTCTTCCTCAGACTAGGGTGGTTGGTAAGCAGGAAGAAGAGTGAATTATTGGTTCCCCAACACGTGAGGTTAACAATTCCCCTTGG